ATCGTTTCTATTTTGGAAAGTAAATTGAAATTCAACATTTTTCAATCATGGTATAAAGCCATGCGTCATCCATATCAGCTCGCTTTATTTGCAAACTAAATTAAATGAAGATGAAAAAGAATACAAAAATATTTATTTTTATTATGATTTTAAAAAAATTGGCGAATCTATATTGACTAAAGATAGACAGAATCAAATATTTTTGTCGGAGAAGGTCAGTCACAGTGCCAATCGAAAAAAGACTTTGACAGTGACCTGTGTCAAAGTAGAACTGAAAATTATTCTTTAATATTATCAATAAATTTAAAATACTTTACTGTTATATGGCGACCTATTGATGTCTTCATATGGTTCTTGTCGGATGCTCAATAAAACATGAACAAGACAAATTATCTTCGTTTGGTGATAGTCGAAAAATTTGTTAGTTCTAGTTTCATCCTCGGCTACACTGAGATCTTGAATAGTTTGTCCATGTCTCCCTGCGCATCTCTAATCAGAGATCACTTTCCACTATCGCAATATATTCGTAAAAATCATCTCCAATTTTATGCTTGTGACCATTAGTCTTTTCTTGGTTGCTAATACGAGAAGGAACCATGTCTTTCATTTGTTGGTTGATATATTTTCTAGAATCTATTAATTTACCTTCTTAGATAAAATATTAGCTGGATCATTTTATTCTTCAACATTAGATATTCAGAAGTTTTGTGCGATCATTATAAACTTTCTCATTTAAAGTTTTAATCTAATATTGAAAAATATTCTTGTGCCAACATCGTCGTGATAGTTAATACAGATTAACATTATCTTAATCAACAGTGTGACAATTGTCAAATTGTATCTATGAAATTAGAAGGAACTATCTATTTCTCTCTATTATGCACAAGATATTCTAAAAATAAAAACTCTTATTTCATTTGAACGTGATTTATATCGAATAGAAACAAATACAGCTGTAAATGTAGCTAATCATTTTTCACACTTTCTATCACATCTAAATGACATTGGCAATTTGATCATTTCTATGAAAGATTAAGTCACAGTCAACTCGTTACTCAATATCTTTTCTATAAGCTCTTTCAAATGCTTGTAATATAGTAATATTCGAAAAGATATCAATCATATTGTCATATCTAAATAAATGATATTGAAAAAGCTAGATGGAGAGATATATTTCAATTCTCATTGTTTATGCTCACGCGGATTTTTGTAAAGTTGAACTTCTTTTTGATAAGATACAATTATGCAATTAGAAATAAAAATTAACCTAGTTTCTTACCCCTAAAAGCATGCACTCTCTCATTATCTCGAAAGTAAAAGAACATAGATTTACTTAAATTGTTTTTAACATCAACAAATTATCACGATCTTTTTAATTGCTTTAAAAACTTAGCAAACATCTCTGAGACGGAAAGTACAGATTGTTATGATTATAATTCTTCAAACGCCAGATCTGAGTATTCTGTTTTCATTCATCGTATTGAAAGAGGTACTGAAAAAATAGTCTTACTTTCAGAAAAATAAAATAAAAGGCTGTTCCATAGTTTAATCCCATGAATCTTTGTTTGTCTGAAAGACGTCTTCACGATATTTTATATATAGGTCCATAATTTTGGATGGAAATCACTATTATTTGATACTCATATTTTCTCTTGCTTTGAATAATAAATGTTATAAGGTTAGTTCACTATTAAGAATTTCTAATGCTGGTAGAAAAAAAATGAACGCAGTGATATATTCATGATAACTGTTTTCTTGTTTTATTGTGTCATTTAATTTCGTCCTCATTATTCGAGGATCACATCACTTATATGGTCAACTACTTCAGTTCCAGAATAAAAAGATGTAACCGTTAATTTAAATCAGGAATTCAGGCACTAGATGAAAGCTAGTAAAAGTGCGCTATGTGCTCGTTACAATACAGAAAAAAGCACCAGCCTGTAGTCTTCGTACGGAACGATATTTATGAAAAGATCACCCTTTAGTCTTACTTGGCATCAATTGAAAAAACTCATTTGTTGATTGTAGTAAGTCAATAATATACACTCCATTTTAAAAACGACTCTTATTTCAATGAATAAAGCAAAAAAAAACACAGATTCCTTCATTATCCGTTTTTTATAATGAATATAGAGAAGAGAAAAAAAAATACTAACTACAAGTAAGATGACCATCAATTAAGTGTTTCGCCTTTATTTATCTACTCAGTGAAACTCAAAAGCTTAAAAAATACGTATGCTTGCAGGAAACTTCCAGAAACTCTCGTTTACTTGCAAAATATCTTTCAAATTGTTGTGTCTCATGCATGAAGATGTAAGCAGTTTCAAATATTTGCAATTACTGCACATAAATGCAAGACAATAGCAAATACATAAACGTGCATGTCGCAAACACATGTATAGAAATGCAATTTTTCAAAATTTTAAGCAAAGCATGCGAGACCGCGTATACTTCTTATCCTTCCAAATAGTTGCTTGCAACGTTCTTGGGCGTGTATGCAAAATAAATGATTCGCGTGTAACTGTCAAAGTGTTTTCGGTGTGTATCAGCAAGATGACAAGAATTTTGCTAAATTTTGTATGCCAGTGCAAAAAGGGTCGTATTTACGAAAACTATTACCAAAACAATTCTGCGTTGGCATGCAAGTTTCTGATATTTTGTAGTGTACATACTGCTCCATGCAAGAATATAATTTTTCTCGTCGACGTGTATTTATTTATATCTTATTAAAATACAATCACTCTCATATCCACACTATATTAGCTCAAAAACTTTGTTTAATTTTTCAAATTTGCCTGTAGTTATTAGTATTCATATTCACATGTACGCAGTAAGTATCCGATAATCATGATATCCTTCAGTTTTGATTGCACTTCTAATGTAAGTACATAGTCGAATGATGAAGAATTTCATCTCATACAGCAAAGTACTCCTGTGTGTCCATATATGTTTACTACATGTGCTTCGTTTTCTGGCCATTCTAAAAGTGTCTTGCGTGTACACGCATGGATTATATACAAAAAATACTTATTTGTCCTTGCATACAACGCCAGTATTAAAAGTATACGTGCACAAAATTTCATGCATATTAACGCGAATATAGTTGACGCTGTGACGTATTTCCACACATGCTGCGTCATAACCATTCATGCATGTATATGCATTTATAAACTTTCCCATTTGAGTAGGTAGCAAAGAAAAATATCAATGAAAAATAAAACAAGTTTATTTTACAATTGCTTCAAGATAATTAACATGTCGTTCAAGTGTTGTTAATTTCTCGTTTAATATTGATAAACGGTATCGACATGAAGATTCTTAAAATAAATTAAAACAAAATTGAAAAAAACCAAATTCAATCATTATTAAATTACCAAATTGATTGAGAAAGTCAACGAGACGTTTCATAGTTGTTGTTAATAATAAAATATCATCACGACGCTACCAATCATCTTGAATATTTAGTCGAAATTCACTTCAAAGAGACGTTATACGGCTCATGCTATAATACAATATTTGGTAGATGGTAGAGGTCACTTTACTATTATTCTATCGGAGACAAATGATGAACCAATCATATAATATCGTTAATACTTTCACGGTTCACGAAGATCGAGCTTCTATCACTTTTCGCCAAGAGTCATGTTTGAATAATATATAATGGCAACAGTAGATCGACTCGTATTATTTTCTACAATATTATTTTGTATTGCTGATCTACTCGTTCTCATCAGCATATCACGACCACGATGGCTTTTATCTGTTAATCAAGGTAAAAAAAAATATTAAAAAATTTTATATGAATGAATAATCTTTGATTAATAGATTTTTATTAAAAATGTTTTCATTCAGTTTTTTTTTTATTGAAAATTTCCACAAGAAGTATACAATTTAGAGTGATAGTCTATTGTCTAATTAGATGAATAATCCATAGCTTAGTGATTCTAAGAAAAATATACTTTGATATATATATATATTACTCATTGAATAAAGTTTTTTCAGAAAATTCTCTTGTTTTTTCTATTTATTAATCTAAAATTCGTTTTGAGTTTAACTCAATCTTTTCTAAGAAAAGCATGAAATCAAAGAAATCTATAGTTTCGTCTATAAAACTATCTATTACTATTCTCAGAAAAGATTGAGTTTCAGATCAATAAATAGAAAAAACAAGAGAATTTTCTAGAAAAAGTTTATCCAATGAAATTGATGTGTATGTCAATGTGCATTTTTTCTTACAACTATCAGACCACAGTTCAAAAGAAATGTCAACTAATTCATATTCAAACATATTTGTTTAAGAGATACTTCTGTTACAAGATAAAAAAATATTAATTTTAATGAAAAATAAAAAAATGTTTATTTAATTAATTTGATGTAGGTGAAACATCAATTGGTCTTATTGAAATGTGTATTATGTTCTCATCATCAAATTCTAATGATCAAAAATGTTTTATTCCACATCATTTTCGTTCAGTATGGATTATATCATTTGGTTTAGCAATTGGTGCTTTTATTCTTCTTTCATTAACTATTCTTTTTCTTGTTACTTCACAATATACACGAATAACAATAGCTGAATATGGTCGACTTACTGGATTTATTGCCAGTATGTATTTATTTTTGATTTTTATTATTAAATAAAAGAATAATTTTTTTTTTGGAATATTTTTTGCTCTAGTGATCTTTTTATGTCTTTCAAGTGTTCTTTTTCCAATTGGTTTTGATTCAGAAATTATTGGTGGTTCACCATTTCAATTACCATCTGATTATCAAATAGGATCAAGTTATATTCTATTTGTTAGTGCAACTTGGTTAACTGTTATTTCAACATTAATAACTGGAAAAATATGTTTACCAACATTTATTATTTAATATGTAGTTTGAGTTTTTATTATATATTTAAATAATTATTCTTTTTCTTTTTGTTGTGTTTTTTTTTGAGATTATTTTTAGAGAAAGTATATTTTTTGTACAATAATTACAAATGTTTTTAGATAGAAATGGCGATTGATTTAACAACATCACGTCGTAAATTACCATCTCTTATGCTTGATCGATCATCTTATAGCATATTTTCTGTGTTGAAACAAGCAATAGGAAAAGATCTTACACGATTTTCTATACCTGTTATTTGGAATGGTAGGTAGACAAAAATTTTTTTTTCAATACATTCTGTTCTTAATGTTTTCTTTTTATTTTTAGAACCTCTTAGTTTGCTGCAACGTTTATCAGAGTGTTTAGAACATTCATCATTGCTTGATCAAGCTGCATTAGCTGATACATCAATTGAACGATTTCATTTAATAACAGCTTTTATTGTATCACATCTATCAAGTCATCTTGAACGAACGTCAAAACCATTTAATCCATTATTAGGTGAAACATTTGAATTGAAAAATGAAAAAGATGCACCATTTCATTTCATTGCTGAACAAGTTAGTCATCATCCACCTATATCTGCTATTCATGCTCGTGGATTAAATTGGATTTTAACTGGAAATACTCAACTTGGAATAAAATTTCATGGAACAAATGTAGCCGCTTTAGACGAAGGTTAGCAAAAATATTTCATACAATCATGTTTCGTGTTGTTCAAATAAATATTTCATTCAAAAATTGTCTATAATTTGTTTTTATAAGGAAAAATGACGAAAAGATCACTTGGCTTCAAAGTAGAGATAGATATCGTATGATAAGAATTCTCATAAAATCCGATTTAGCTTGTTTTTCCTTTAAATTTATTTTTTCTTATGAAAAAACGTTGACTGCTCAATGATTTATGTCTCGCTAGATTTACTTTTATAAATTATCGTTTTCATGAATGTATTTGACAATTTAGGTGGATGGGTACTTCGTATAAGAAAAAAATCTTCATTATCTCGTTCATCATCAATATCAAGTTTTCATTCATGTACTGAAGAAGATAACCAACAAAATCAAGAAGCTAATGATCAAGATAATGATTATGAAGAATATACATGGAAATCACCAAATGCAGTCGTTCATAACATTTTATTTGGTCATATGTGGTGTGAATTTCAAGGACAAATTAATTTACAACATATGCAATCCAATCGACGAGCCATTCTCACTATTAAATCTCATTCATGGTTTGCATCACAAGCAACAAAAGCAGCTGAAATGTTTAAATTTAGTGGATTTATCTACGATGGTATATACATATATATCTTTCAATATATGGATCATTTCATTTGTTAGTCATGTGACTTTGCAAAATTAAAACATACGTATCTCGAGATAATGAACTTTCTTAGAGTTAATTTTTATATGCTACCTGTATGTTGAGTTTCTCTAGGTATCCTGAAAAATCAGCGCTAGAGACCTTTCTTCAGAAGTGTTATCAGTAAAAAAATTAGCGTTAGTGATGTGACGAAATACAAATATACAAAATGAAAAAATGCTTCTATAACCGAATGAGAAGTTTGAAACCAATTTCAAACAATAAAAATCCTTTCTCGGAATCTCTACATGATAGCAAGACGAAGATGTTTGTTTTAGAACTTGACAGAATCTCTGGAAAATGGGTTTTTCAGAGGAATTTTTTTGGAGTTCGATCGTGTTGAAAATTTTACCATAGATACAGTTCGTGTTGTAGAATCTTTTCTGAAGTTTTCAAACTTTTTTCTCATATAGTTAGAGAGGTATCCGCTAATTACTTTTTAATTAATAATCATCTGAAAGAGCCAACATTTTTACATATGTCTATGCTAAAAGAACTTGTTTATAAAAATCATCTTCGTGAAAAATCAAAGTCAAATCCAAGTAGGGTATGTCCTGTTTTTTTCTGAAGTATAGCTCGTATAATAGTAAAAGTAATATGCAGATTATTATATCTAAACAATAAGAATATTTATTTCGAAAATATTTTATTTGTATTCTTTTTGAAGAGATGTCATTGAATTATACTTATTAGTGATATTCGAATTCGATTATATTTAGGAGATGATAAACTCAGTGCATTTCATGGTAATTATGGTCATTGTTATTATGCTATTGATAATTTAAACGATGTCGAATTAAAAACTAGATCTTGTTGTTCAGCTGGTGGTCATAATTCTATGCAATTTAATTTCAATACATTAATAGCACCACCATGTGATGTTATTCTTACTCCATCATCTCGTCTTATTTGGCATCGACATTTATTGTCAATGACTGATGAAGAACTATTATCAAGACATCATTATTATTATTTTACATTATTTACAATGTGCCTTAATGAAGAAATATTTTCAACAATATTACCACCAACTGATTGTCGATATCGTCGAGATATACGATTACTTGAACAAGGTACTTTGGAAGCTGCTGCAGCTGAAAAACATCGTCTTGAAGAACAACAAAGAGCAGAAGCAAGAACCCGTGAATGTGAATATCAACCATTATGGTTTAAGAAAAATGATAATAATGAATATATTTATACAGGTGAATATGAAAAAAGAAAATTTGATCATTGTCCAAATCTTTTTTCTCAAGTATCATGTCTTTGATAATTGTTTTACATATATTCACACTTGTTTCTTCTTAACATTGTTTTTGCAGTTATACATTCCAAAAACTCTAATACTTTCTTTTTTTTTTATTGTTATTTAGAAATATTTATTTAATTAAATAAATATGAACTGAGCCTGATGGTATCTTTGCATCATGATATGACTTAATGAATTTCAAAGAATACATCGATATATGATCATTGATGAATTACATGTATCTTAACCTTGTTTTGAATATGGTGATAGGTTCGAATTGCTAATCGGTTGAGTTATACGATAAGAACTATCTCGAACAGATTTCATATAATTAATTGCTGCTTCATGAGAGACACGATTGTCGAAATTTGCATAATTGAAATTAATCTCTCATGGTTTCGTAGCCAGTTTCTTTTTCATCAAACTGTTGCATACTATATAATGTCCTTAATCTAACCAGATTATTTTTTGAAGCATGAGATGATTGCTTTTAGTTTTTGTTTACAATAATGAAGTTAATACAGTCAAATTACATTATGCATGATTTATTGTCTTTGTGCTATTCCTTACTATCTCGAATAAATGACACATATGGTATTCTTACTTTTTTTTCTTTTGAGTGTAGATCAACTAACTTAACAGACCATATTCTCATCATCAAATATATTGATTGATTCCATAAAAGATATCTTTTATATTAGTCACATATTTCATGAATAACAGAAATGATATTATATCTAAAAAGAAGTCAATACTAATATTTATCTGACAAGACTAAAATTAATTTGTTTATAATACAACTTATGTCACAATGTGTTGAACTTCATCAAAGAAGAAATAACAGAATTCAAGAAATTTAGGCTCTGCTATTTTCTTCCTTAAACAAGATATCTCTGCGATTGGTTAGCTTCTTTTTTATTTATTTAAACAAAATATTTATTCACCTATAATAAAAAGAACAGTTTTATCTATGAGATATTATAAGATAGACGTACTATACTAATTTTTTTAAATTAGATTTTCACGAGCATAGGCATAATAGACTGAGTCTATAATAATCAAGTTCTATTATCTATTAGAGGGAGAAATTTTAATGGTTCTCATTTCAAGCAAATGCATAAGTTATAGTAAATAATAGTCAAGCGAGAATACAAGAATCAACTTTGCAATGAGTTTCAATTTATTCATCCATTTGAATCCTATTGGCAAACAAGCAATCACAAAACATTTTTTTACCGTATTCCACAATAAAATATGACATTAATAAATCAAAATCGTTGATTCTAGTACAATTCTTTCTCATATTTTCAAAGGAATTCTTGAATATACTTTTCAAAATTAGTTCTATCTCTTTCTTTCGTAGTCAAATATTCTGTATCCTACAGGAATAGACATAATCACAACATGATAGTACAACTCATACACATCGATAAATATGGTTAACATTATATGAACTATCAGCAAATGTTAAATATCAGCCAACTTTCAGACAAGTTCTAAAAATTTTCACAGACGCGACAAAAATCGATGAGTGAGGTGGAGCTAGCGCACTGCAATTCCTTTCTCATCGAGATCTATGACTGATTAATACTGATGGATTACTATCGAAGAATCTTTTCAATTTATTGAATTCTATTAATCATTCACGACTATGATCAATATCCTTAGATAACTACTTGATTTATTACCTATTAAGGATACTCCAACTTTTTTTGACTACTTTGATTCTTGAAAAGAGTAAAACCGATTACGCTGAAACTTTTGCCGTAGATAAGGTACCTAAAATAAGGAGACACATGTTCAGAGAAAAGAATTTTAAGGGAGGTTTTCAAGTTATTCTCTGGAAAACCTTGATTTTCCATAGAATTGTATGCTAATGTATTACGATCCCCGTCAAACTTTATCCAATTGGACTAAAAATCTTTTTTGGAGATAATTTTGAACTTTTTCGGAAATCTCACTTTCTTTTTTTAAGAGAAAAACACGTAAATGTTCGCAGGCAAAACTAGTACTTTAGCTTCTCGAATCTGATAAATTCGGACATGAAGGTCAAAAATGAAAACAGTCAATTCTACCTCTGTAGAATACTTTCAAATATTTGTGATAAAAATTCTAGTCTGATCGGTTGTACTGCCTGCTAGAATCAGAAGTGGTCTAAAAAGAAAGGGGATGTGTATTCTTAATGCTATTAGTAAATGAATAAAATCTAATCTCATTAGCAAATTAGTTCTCAAAATAAAGTCAATATTGTTATTTGTATTCTATTAATAGAATTTTTTGTTTTTGTTTCTTTTTTTTAAACACTTCGTTAAAGGAGAAGAATTTAAAAAATTTTCTTTTTCTTTCTGTTCTGGTTCTTTTTTTCATTCAATACCTTTATTACCGATTTCTTATAGAATAAAAATGAAATGATCATATCTATTCTTGTTTAAAAAATAAAATCATTATAATTAACATTAACTATTGTATGATCATGTTTAATCTCTTTGATTAAATTATTATTCTTATTATTACAGTTATGAATAAATAGAGACAATGATTAATTAGTAACAATGAGAAAAGCTTTAGAATTTTAACTATAAATAAAAAAATATCAGTATGTATGAGAAATTAAACGAAGAAAATAGGTAAAAATAATGTTATTCTATTCGATGTTACATTTATTTATGTATCATTGATAGAGTCGATGAATTTAAATGATCACTATTTAATTCATTATTTATTTTGAAAATAACCATCAGTATGAGTAGATTTTTTTTTGGTTTGAGTAATAATCTTTGTGTATTTGTAGATAATACAAAGAGTAAGAAATGTGATCATGAATAATCATGCGACAACAATTAACATAAAGTAATTAATAATAAGATTGGTTATGAGGTAGAGAAAATCGTCTTTTTTATATAAAATAATACAAATGAAAAGATAGAATATGAAAAAGAGGTAAAAGAAGAAACATTAATATATCCAGTCTACTGTAATCAGTCGAGTTGATTTTTTTCTCAGTGATAGAGGATTCTTAGTAGTTTTTATTCACAAGAAAACTATCAGATAGATATTATTTTGAACTAGCATTATTGACCTCAATAAAGAAATACACTGCTAGCCGAAAGTATCCTTTGTGACCTCAGCCGTTTTCCAAGTTACACATCTCAAAATTTTAGTGTATGTACTACCTTAGAAATATAGGCCAACGAGACTGAGCCAGTCTCGATCGCTTGAATTGAAGAGAAGTGGTGATAATTTTTCGTACTATGAGTTCTATAACGCAAGAAAGGAAGGAGTTTATGGCCTAGTCAGCCCATCATTATATCACACAGCTGCATTAAAAAGCTACGTAAATGTGAATAGTGTTAGGTCTACACAATATCTATTGTGACAATTTTCTTATGAATAAAACGCTTGACCAGTCCTCTATCACCGAGAAAAAAATCGACAAGCTTGATTAACCTTTCATATACCTTTTTTTTTCATATTGCCAATCGTTTAGCATTAGTTGATGAATCTGTTTTATTAAAATATAAATACTCTGGCTTTTAAACATACATATTTCCTTAATTAACAGAAATTTAGTCAAAGCTTTTCGAGAGATTCAACTGAAAAGAGAAGCTAAAATCTTACAAGCTTTGATCAATAACTATCTTTAATCGGACGACAAAATCTTGTTATTTGATTATGTTAGTTGGTCAAATTATCTTTAAAAATTTGTTTTCAGACTAACAATCAAATGACAATAGCAACTATTTGTATCTGTTACAATTAGCGAGAAAGTCAAACTTCTCTTTCTACAGATTAGCTGAAAACATCGAATAAGAAGATATTCACAGACTACTGAATTGAGTCGTCTCATGTATTATTGTTTATATCAGACCAATTAATTTTCTCTTTTACTATTCACAATCACTATATTCTAGTCGATATTTCAACCGAATGGTAAATTCAATTATTGATGATAGAGATGAGAGTATGTCATCCATTGTCACATATACGTATTGAACTAGTGAATTTATTTTCTCATGAAATTATTCTAATTAATCTGATATAAACATTCATCCTTGTGAAGATTCAAATTAGTAGTCTGCTAACATTTGCATATTGAATGTTTTCGTCTTATACAATTTCTTTTACGATATTTTTCATCAAACTTAATCTATATATTTTAATATGTTAACAATATCTTTCTAGTGTAGCAAACATCTAGATAATTTATCGAAATTAGAAAGAGATAGGAATAGATTTGTGTCCAAAGTTGTTCAGAAAAAAACGATTAAAATTTGTTTTTTTTTTATTTCTTCGTACAATTTATTAAAATGCATATATATTAGATGTAGTCGGTGTATATTTATTTATAACATGAATTTATGGTAAAACAAATTTGAAATATTTAGTGTTAACTATTGGTTGAGATTCAGCTGAACTTGTTGTTACTAAGTTTGATTTTTCTTATGCTCGCATTCTCCAAACTTTGACTTTTTTGTGTTAATATAGTTCTTTATCATTATGGCTTGAAGGTCATGGTATTGAATTCGATTGAAAATATATTCAAACAAGTCTTAATACAAATATTGCCATTGTAAATTGAATATTTGAGACAAGAGTTCAAGAAAAAACATAGCGTTCTTTTTTTTCTTATATACTCGTTATGTATACGTTGATACGCTTATTTGGCTTCATACTCGTAATGATTTAAAGAAATCGTACATTCCATTTGTCAATGTTCTTCTTATCAAACATTATTTATCAAATAATTCTTTTTGTTTTTTAACAGCTAATAGATTAGTTAAAGTCATTTTTTTTCCTATCAAATTAAATGTTGATGCATGTATCTGACATCGATTCAAGGATAAATTTAGTATTGATATTTTTCTTCAGTACACTTATTAGTCTTACGCCTCTTCAACTTTATTTGTCATTACCGAGTAAAACTAAGATTGTTTTCCTAATGACAAAAAAAATTAATAAGAGATGATTGGATTTTCTAAAAAAAAAATTACAATTCGATGACATGAATAGTTAACTATTAAATAGAATATGATTAACTATAAAACGAAATTAATTACTCTAAATTATTAACAAGAAAACTGCTTTGTTTTTCTGACTCGCTTTTCAATAATATAGTTCGAGTGTAGGTAGCAAAACAAACTGTCTAAAAATCATGATATTTCTTTCTTCAGTTATGGTCTAATCGGTTATTAAGGAAACTAAAATTCTAAAGCCACTAATTCATTGGTATATTGACTAAATAAAATTTCATAGTTGTAAAAACCAACGCATATAAAATAATTTCAAGGAATTATACTGCATTTCTAGTAGTAGTGTACCTAAGAGGGACTAAGCTTCTCTCACTGTCAAAATCCTGGTTACTTCTTTAATTTCAAGCGAACATTGTTGAACACGCACCTAAATTTCTAAGAAAGCACCAATACTATATATTATTTATTATTCACAGATTAGAAAATATCGCAATACTGATGTTTGAATTTCTTTTTTTTTATAAAATCAATCTTGTTAGAACCAATTATGTTTAAAAGATTGAATTCAATTCAATAAAAAGAAAAGATGTATATAATTTAATAATTTTGAAAACTAATACTTATATAAAAAAATAAATAAATATTTGTTTTTTGTTTTTCAAAATTCATTTCATAAAATTATTTGAAAAGTTACAATGGAAGTTTTGTTGTCGATGTTTCAAATAAAATTTTTTTTATTGAGCAGAAATTGTCGTTGTAGATTTTTGTTTGTTTTGAGCTATTGCATAAGCTTTAGCAGCACATAATGTTAAACCATGTGAATGATAATCAACTCGATAATTTGTTTTATGATCATGTTCACCTATTTGATTAATCATTTTAATTTCAGGCATACAAGCACGTGCTCGGTGACCTTATATTTTTGATAAAATAAGATAGAAATCAATTTACAAAAGAAAAAAAAAAGAAAACTAAATTACCTGGTTGTCCTTTATATGTTTCGCCGGTCGTTGTTAAACCTTCAAATTTACTTATCGGAGGTATATAAATATTAGGCATTGGTTCACCATATTTTCGTTTGGATTTTATAGAGTCATATGGTTGATAATGATATCGAGACATTGTTATACTTTCCATAGGAGCATGTTGCTCATTAACTGATAATGTTGTTCTCATTGGTATTAAACGAATACGTGGTAAAGTAGTTATATCTAATGGTTGAAAATCTCTCTAAAGTATAACAAAATATAAAATCTTATATTGATATTATTAATAATTTACTTGTGTTACTGATATTGTATCCATCTTTTGAATTGGCGCTACATAAGGTTTTTTATCTTTTGGTATTACAGCTGGTTGACGAAGATGTCTGCTCGTATCAATACCTTCATAATCGGCACGATATTGACTTTTACTATTAAATAATAAAAAAAAAGACAAAGTTCAAAATGAATTTCTTGAATTAAATATCAAACTAACGTTACAGCTGGTGTTAATGAATTGCCTAAAGTTATTTGAGATACAAATGGTTCCATATCAGCTGGTGGTGATGGTCGATGATTTGGATAAGGACGAAAATCTAAACTTGTTTGTGTTATAGTATACATTGGACGACGTGTATAAACTTTATCTTCTTTTGATTTATCTTTTCGTTCAGTTGGAGCACTTCGTGATGATGATGGTTCAGGTGGAATATAACTTTCACGATAATTTGTACGTAAATCCATTGAACCTTTATTAATATTTCAAAATAATTAATTTGTTTTTTTTTTCTTTGAATAAATATTATTATTAAATTACCAGAGAGTTTAAGACTTCCACTGTTTTCAAGTCGCGGAATTGGTTTTGCTTGTGATATTTTTGGAAATGGTTTAAATGTACTTCCTGTTGAAGTATTAAAAGAACGACTTGGACCGGGAAAAAGAACATGACCTAGAAAATCAATTGATAGTTCAATCTTTGTTTTTGTTTATTATTCAAACGAGAATATAATAGAAGACAAAACAAAACTGTAGTAAAGTATATTCGAATACTTAGAGGATAGTTTTAGCAAATAAGAACTTACAAAAAAGATTTAATCAAGCTTTTGTTCCTATTCGAGCTATTAGACGTACTTATTTATGCATAATCGATTTGTTGAAAGTATTTTTCCAAATAACCTTTGTCTACAAAATTCATCATAGCGATTAGTAACTATTTCGATCAATCAAATTTTGTTGAACATAGCGCTGACTAAAGAAATACAATGAATATGTGAAGTGATAGTAGATGACAAATTCTGACTAGGTCATACATAAATCGGTTGAGATTCTTCGAACTAGAAGGAGTGTAATCGAATCATCTCCATCCACCACAGTTTGATGGAGTAAGTTAGCTTCAAAGCAATATTTCATATCTTTTCTAAAAGCGAAATAGTTAAATATGCTTTAAAAATTTAACAAATATGAAAAAACAAAGATCATCAACTACCGCTCGAGGCATCGAAAGTCATTATGACAATGTTCAACTATATGTTCATAAAGATGTTTTGACTATCCTACATCAAAATATATCATAATTATTCTATATTCACTTTAACGTATTTTTCAGGTGCTTGATCTAATTGATAAACTTCATTAATCAAACAATTCTTAATCACTACATGGACTGTCGTAATCAAGATGATGAATTTTTTTTAATCAAAGATTATTTGAAAAATACTTTCAACATATCGATTATGCGAGATTAAGCAGGGCTACTAGCTCAAATACTTGATTTCCGATGGGATTTTCTCTATCAAAATCATTACTTTTAGTATACCCTAAGTATTTTAGATTACAGTAAACAACCTATTTCATACATAACAAATTACAATCATGAAACCAATAAACGATTGATTATATAAGATTTCAGGTAAATATTTTAATGGCTTCTTTCAGTCAACATCAAATTATAGAATGTTTTTAAAACACATCAACAAAAATATCTTATGTTATTTTATAAGAAGAATCTTAGATTATTAGTAGAAACGAACAATAAAAATTAAGAAAATATTTATTCAAAGAATACTTCAAAAAAAAAACCGTCGCGCCAAGGATCAAAAATTGAGGGTGAAGATGTATAAGAAAATGTTTCACAGGAGTAATAAAAATTCAAAAAATCTCAAGATTTTTACTAGGAACTAATAAATAATTTTCAATTCGTTTTCCTCTCCCCACTCGTATTCTTCACACTAAGCAGACTTATCAAAAACTAATAATCGTCATTCTATCAAACTATGATACATTCTCAAAACAAGATCAATGGTTAAGATGCAGTTAATTAACTTTTCTGATTCGATTTACCTAGTCAAACAAACCTTGAAATAATATTAAAAAATCTTCATTTTACATTTTTTGGCATTAAAAACGAAAAATAAGAGCTTGAATATTATTATTTTCTTCTCAAACTTAAGACTCTTCGCATCGATTACAATGAAAAATATTTGAAGAGAACGAAAACAAAAAAATAAACGATTTCTCTTTTCATATTTTCAAGTGAATTTTAAACAGCAAAAGTGAATTAGTTTCTTTTATTTTATTTTCTACCTGCAACAGAAGGTAATTCAGCATACGGTTGTGATCGTGCTGAATCCCATTGTTTAAAATGTGCTCGAGTTGTTGTTAGAGAAGATAATGGTCCTGCAGATTCAGTGAGATCAATACTAAATAACAGATAATAATAAAAAGAAATATTTAAAAAGAAATATTCACTGAGAATCTTTTAATGGACGAAATGCAATTGGAATAACAGGTTTTTCAACATATTCTATTTGATATTGACTTTTAGTTTCCATTGGAACTGCACGTATTAATAAAGAATCTTTCTTCTGAGAAAACAAAAAAAATCTGATAGTTTTAGGTTAAAATCTCAATAAATAAACATGCCGGTTTCGTATGTGTAGTCGAAGTGTTTTTAATACTGCTTAATGGTGGAGGTTGATAATGATCTCGTTGTGAACTAAGACCACTCATTGGTACATTTTTAAATGATATCGGTATTTCATTGTCAGGTACAGGAGGACATGGTTGACGACGATGATCTGCTGGTCCACCAGATACATTTGTTGCTGCTTGAAATGTTGCTTGATAATGTGAAAGAGGACAACGAAGTGCTAATGGTAATTTTGTTCGTTGTACTGTTTTTCGCCGACATTCTGGATGATGTTCATAACCTGCACGATCAAAACAACCATCATCACATAGTTCACAGGGACATTTGTCAAATTTTGGTAAATCAGTAAGTTGCAATTTAGAAACATCAATGTTCTCCAATTTCATTTTTATGTCAACCAGCAATGCATAAAACCATTAAATAAATGATAGCAACCAATTTTTGAATATGTTTACTCTGTAACAACAAATAGTAAAGAGAAAAGAAAAAGAAACGAAGAGAAGATGAAGAAAGAAAAATGCAATGGCATCAAACTTTAACGATTTCAATTTTTCTATGCGTATATGTTGCAATGTTAAATGAGCATTTCTTCTGTTCTTTTAATCAGTACAATGTGATCGTTTTTTTGTCTCATGTATTAAAGTAAATTTTGTCAATCAAAAAGAAAACATTAGACACTTTGACAAAAAAAAAGTTAAAAATAGATGATAAATTTTTATAGGATAAAAATAATATTTAAAAACTAATTCATAGAGATTTTGACTTTTGCTTTAGTTAAATATTAATGGGTTTAAAACTGAAGGATAGATTAAATTTTATTTTCAAATTCGATGTTTTCGAAAGTGTCAAGAATGTAAAGAAGTATTTTTAGGTTATCACATATGTCTAATAAAACATTCACTAACAAGGAAATCATTCCAAACGATAATTTCCTTAGCGGTTTCGAACTTTATAGATAAAATAGATCATGGTGAAGTATATAAAAAAATATATCAACAGATAGAATAAGAATATTTGAACCTATATTTTTTTCCAAAAATAGACTACTATGTAAAAAAGAATTTTAATCTCATTCCAATAGGATTGACGTCAATTTTTAATAGTGATTAAGATCATTTTCTACACACTTTTTACGATATATTTATAATCAAAACACCTTTTTTTCATGTGACATTCTTCATCAATCTTTTTATTAATGTTACCGTATAAATATGACAATAATTTCCTGTGGACTCTGTTTTTTTCATTTATAATAACTGCATACATTTGATTCAAGATATTCAATACGAACAGCTGAAGATTTTTATTTCTATTTAATTTCTTATTGTAAAAAATACTAGTTATTATGTATACTATTAACGTTTAAAATATTTACTAATTAATAATAATTTATTCACTGAATCGTCGAATTCTTTTAAATAGGAAAAAGTATCAAAAAAAAATGTATGAGATTTCTTATTTAAATTTCGAATTTGTTTTCTCCGAATGTTAAAATAACAGTGAATCGTGTTGTAAAATCTTGACTGACGAGATTATAAATCTCTAATCTGAAAAAAATCTAGCAGCACTCGAAAATCAATTCTTATTCTTTGTCATTACAGAATAGAACAATTTCTTGAATAATCCATTAGCAAGATAGTTGCACTTTATTCTCATGATTAGAGCGGATCTATTATGATTTCTTTTCCATTGTTATTATTTTATTGTTGAAATTTTCACAGAAATTACAAGCATAAAAAAAAATGAACAAAATGATAACAGAACAAAAAAAGTATTGATAGAAGTAATAAGAAAAAAATAAATAAATAAGCAAAAATTCATAGCCATTTTAATAAAATATTTGTCGAGTAAATCAAAAACAAAATTGTTTCTTTAAATGTTGACTTGCTTTGTTCGTGTAACATACTAACTGTAAAACACTTATTGTAGAAATGAGCAAGAAATGTACGTGAAAAAATAATTATGTATTTTTCAATTATAGAAAGAATCTTGATTGAAATTTCTGATGAAAAAGAATCCTATCTGATATTTCAAGAGAAAAATAAATGATAAATCAGGAAATGATAATGATTAATCTATCGTCAAGCCTTTTGTTTTAGTAAGACTATTTTTTGGAAGCTCTAAAATTATGTAAGACTTAACTATATATGAGTCAACAACTGCATCAATTCTATCAAATATGTTCATAATCTGATGATGTTATGCAATCAAGGTGGAAAAAGTGCGACGTTAGTACTTCGAAGGTCGAGTGAAGTACAAGTGAAGTATCATGATGTACCAGTGAAGTGCAGTAAGTATTGTAATTCACTCATACTTCATACCTACTTCAAAGTACGGGAGTCGAACGTTCCTCTCTTGAATTTAATTCATACACTGATATGAAAAGAATATCACCTGGTTGATGTAAATCGAACTCAACAACCATTAAGTGTCATCGTATAGAAATGAATAAATAACATACAGATGTTTATATGTATATAGATCAATATACACAAAGACATTACACGACGTTTGTCTGAAAGATCAGAGAAAGCCTTTTTCTTCCCTTTTCTATCACAAAAATCTTTTCTGAATTTTAAGAAACTCTAAATATCTTGTAGTACTTTCCAGGTTTCTGTTTGTCTTGGTCCATCCATTAGTCAAGATTCTTTTTATTTTGAACATCAGATAAAATTCGTTCTATTCATGTATTAATACCACTACTGAGTGATTCAGTACAATAGTACAAAATCTTCTATTTATGTCTTAATTTAGCAATTATATCAATTCTATTGATAAAATATTATGACAATCGAAGAATTTTGATCTAGATTCTCCGAACTACTTTATCTCGGGCAAAAGAATGCATATTATCAAGTGAAATTATGTAGAGAATAAAAATTAGGTACCAGCTACTACTTATTTAAAATAGATGCGTAAAGAAAACAAAATCGAAAATAATAGATTGGTAATGATACATTAAACAGAAATACTTTAAAGTACTGTTGTCAAATATCTTTTTCGTTTGATAAAAGATTACTCATACTTTAATTTCATGCCTGCATATTTTTTCTTGATTCCGACGAAAAAAAAAACACAAAAGTACACATATAGAAACACTTATAGAATAGTTGACAATCTATATATTTTCATGTTTTTCTCTCATAAATTCAGAATTTTCCTACTCGATCAACTTCAAATAATTATACATTTAAATATTCTTTTCTTACATCGGTTGTTAAAAATTTATTCGATTCTAGTTGTGTTTTAGTCAATTATCTTCATGTATAATGAATATCAAACAGATGAAAACCATATTCTTTCTAATTTCATATAAAATTGTTCGATATTTGAATGATCTGTGTGCAGACTTATCGTTTAAACATCAATCGATAGATATAATGTTAGCTTATTAAATTTCAATCCAAGATTGTCGTCGATATCACTCAGAGATGGGAGAGTTTAAAAATTTAGTAGAAAGTGATTTCATTCTCGAAGTGCTTGAAGTAGTGACGGGATAGAAACGAAGAATGAAACTCACCATGACCCGACCTCTCGCATAACAAATAGCCTGTCACCCGACCGTTCCTCTCCCGGGACCTGTCCCAATTCTATTCACCTCACAACGACATTATCTGTTTAGCTTTTTCTATCTTACTTACTGCCAGAGGAAGGGGAGCGGTATTTCAAAATCCGATTTCTGTCCACAGTTACCAAGAATCTGTAAAAAATGGGCAGAAAATCAGACTTAAGAGGGGAAGTCCCCTCGATCCCTGCCCCCCCCCCCCCCCAATCGAGAACTTTGTGTTAATCGGAGAAAGCTGCGAGTAACGTTAAAATAGCAAGATTGATAATTATTTTCATTGTATGTCAAATATTAATTCGCTACATTTGTTCTCTAGCGTGAAACGATATATAAGACAAAAAACAAAGATGATGAACTTTGCATATCGTATCCGATTGGAAATTATTTACCAAAAGCTATATTCTTATTTTTGCTTTTGATTGTATGATGTTTTATGCTAATGTCAACTTAGGTTCACGTTTTTTTTGAAGGTATAACAAATATTATACGCCTACTTGAGACAGAAACATTCTCCTGATTTTCGAGCCTATCGGTGGCTAGATAGGCCATCTACCTGTTAGATTCTTTCTAAATTTTCAAAAACAAATTCGTTTTTTCCAGCAGAAAATGTACGTATTAAAATATACATTACAGTATTTTTTTGCTGCTAGACGACGAGAAATTATTTGTTTTTATCATATTGACTGAATATAATTATGACTAATTAATAAAAGGTGACTACACTATTTATTATCCAATTTGTTTTATTTAATTTTGAGAAAAAGGAAAAATAAGTATTAAAATATGACAGTAGGAGCCAAGTTTTAGACGATAAGTTCGTCAAAATCAATGCATTTTTTGATAAACCATAGATATTCTGAAAGAGGAGACTTCAGTACATCTTCTCATGATAAAACTTCAATTTCGACTCGTCTCCGAAAAATTGGATTTTCTGAGGGGAGGCCCCCTTAAGAGAAGATACACCCACACCCTCCTTTATAAAGGCAATATCTATTTTGAGTAAACTTTAGTCGTTTAATTGTCGTCTGCTGGCTAACCAATAATTTGTTTTCTTTTTATTTCTTTGTCTTCATACGTATGAACGAGAAAGCGGTACATGTATTCACATGTGTCAATCATGGGTAATATGTTTCAGTGATTGAACATAGCAGATATAGTTGGAATTCTTTATAAAAAAAATGGTTTCGTGATTAATACAAGTGGAAATCGACGGTCGTTCAATCCAATACTATCAACACGAGTTGAATTCACACCAGAACAACCGTTAACCATACAGCAACAACAGATAACAGCTAATATATCAAGAAGAACAACTGCTGCAGTACATTATCCAATATTAAGAGTTAATGATATGGTTCAAATATGTAGTAATTTAGAACAAATTAAAATATTTCAATGTGGACATGGTGAATGGACTGAAGCTATGTTACCAGTGAGTGTATAATAAGATTTTCATTGATCTTGATTAGAAAATATATGCTTTAGACACTTGGAAAACTTGGTCGAGTTGTTGATTTATATAATGATGGTGATATTAAAGTTCAAGTGGCATAATTAATTGATTTATTTATTTATTTAATAGAATGCGCTAGTCTCATGAAAAAATGTTTTCTATGTCTAGTATCTATTGATTCAACAGTATCGTTGAATGAACTTTGTTGTGGAAATAATGATCATGTTTCAATAAATTCTGAAACAATAAGAACCACAACAACTTCATCAAATAATATAAACGACACAGTTGCATTAGCTTGTTTACAACAACAATTACAAGAAATTCGTGAACAAGTCTATTGTCCAATATGTATGGATCGTTTAAAAAATATGGTCTTTTTATGTGGTCATGGTCTTTGTTAAAATTGCGGTGATCGTGTACAAGAATGTCCAATATGTCGAAAATCAATTGAAAAATCGATTATTTTATATACATAAAAGAACAAAGATTAATTCTTGTATTTTTCTCTATGTAATAGTTTTATTTTAGTGTTTAATTTTGTTAGGTAACAAAAAAAAATAAGAAGGTTTATATGTCTTAATACCAATTGTATCCTTCTGATAAGATTATTTTAGAATGTTGAAGAAACTTATGTCGTTTGCAAAAAGCAATGTGTCTTACTGTTTTATGAACAATTTTTCATACTAACAACATAAAGACCTGGAATTTTCACCATTCAAAAGAGAAGACTTTGGACTATCTACATATGCTAAAATTTAATTTCTTCACAACCGATAAATTAGGTGAAATCCCTGTGAAAGTTTTGAGAAAGATATTTTGTTGCTATTTCTCATTGGATTTTAAATTGAAGTATGACCAATCGGTAGGAAAAATTCTTTCTTTTCGATGTATGCAAGCCTCACATTTCTATGATGTTCCGTTCTAGAGTTACAAGGATTTCCGACATCTCTGATTGCAGCAAATTGACTGCGACAGACTTCACAAAAGGTCAGGGCAGTGACAATTCATCATGCTGAGTAGAATGATGATGTTTGTTTCAAGTTTCCAAGTCACTTGAGACCCTTATTTCATTATTTTTGAAATATGACAAACTTCTCTCACACAGCATGAAAATCGAAATTTTAAAAATCTTGAGAAAGTAGTTTCAAGTCGTTTTGAAACTGAGAAAAAAACTTTCACAATTTGACTTAGTATGATGGATTGTCCCTGTATTGAAATCTTTCAAGGGATATTGGCTGAAATTAGATGTTCCGAAAAAACCCTTGTAACTCTAGAATGAATCATGCTAGAATCGGAATCCAAAGAATAAAATTTTTGAGAGCGAGGACTAAAAAAATTTGGTCTCGCGCATCAGAATTGAAAAGAGATATATATAGGCTCAATAAGTAGACAATGGTAACAATTAGAGATATACAGTTTTCAATAATCGAGAGAAGATAACTGTGGACGTCTTTTTGTCTAATATTATATAAAACAAAACTATTTTAAAACTCATTATCTTCCCAAAACACTCAAAGAAAATACACGAAAATGGTGTTCTATTTCAATGTAATTTTGATTTTGACATATGCTTCAGACGAAGGAACTTCATATTTATAATTCAAGGCATGATTTGAGTGATTATCTTCTTACATTGTAATGCCCAGCAAATAAAATTTCGTACGCATTTAGTCGAATTCCGTTGGTTTTTAGCAAATTTTCTGATTTTTTATCAAAATTCCCGTAACATGATACATTGTTTTCATGCATGTTTGTGAGTATTTTGTGACGATGATGATGATTTTTAAAATAATTTTGTCCTACATGATATCACACGAAAAGACGTTCGGAGTTCTCTTCTTTCAATTACTGGGAATCGCAGGTTGCTAGCAGTTGCCATTGTCCAATTATTGAAATTACACCTACTTCTCTCTAATTCTGGTGCGCCCAATTAGTCTCATTGACAACAGTCTGTTATCAACATACTGACATTGATTAAAAGGAAACCGATAGATTGATTGAAAAGAATTATCTCTCTATTAAATACGTAGACATTATTAAAATCAAAATCGAATTTATTATAAATATTATCCTTCAAAATATTTTATTTTTATTTTCTAATACTTGGTAATTTTTTTTATTTGTCTTTCTTTTGATTTTATATAAAAATAGCTTTTATAGAATATTTTATTCACCTGTTATTTTTTTCTTTGGAAATTACATATGCAGACGACTCTAATGCGTGCCATATAACTACAATGTAATAAACTGCTAAAGGAGAAAAGAAGAGGGAATTTCTAATTACAATCTAATAGAAGGAAAAAAAAAAGATTTTCTTTTTTTTTCATAAGGAAAAGAAAAACATCGTCATTTCAGCTTTTTTTTTCTTTTTCCCCTTCACATTCTCTTCGTTTACGATGTCATCGTCACCGGCAAGAGTGTTGTTTATATTATTTTATCTAGTTATTTTACTATTTGCTACATCTGATCTTAAAAGATTTATTTTTCATGTCCATATTTCACGTGTCGATCGTGTACCTGTAGAAATTGATATTGATTCATCATCATCTTTATGGTATCCAATATCAATTGGAATTATTTTTAATATTTTTATTTTAATATTTTCTATTATTAATTTATATATATTTTTATGGCGACAAAATTTATTAAATCAACTTTTTATTTCAACATTAATTCTATTATGTTTATTTACAATACGTTTTATTATTAATATAATTCTTACTAAATATCGAAATGGTCTTGCAACACCAACACTTGTTGAACGATCATTTTTTGCATCATCATTATCATTAGAAGAAGAACTTACTACAATTATTTTAAATTGGTTGATTAAAATAATTGGTTTTATTTGTATATTTATATATTGTTATAAACAAAAACAACAACAAACTATGAATGTTGAAAGACAAAGTGAAACAAAATTAATGTCGAATTTTGAATAAAACTAATATCTAATCTTCAAATAACATTTTTCATATATGATGACAAATTTGTTTTTTTCTTCGTCTTTTTGTTTATCACTATTTGTTTTCCTCTGTAGAAATCTATATGATGAAACATATTATATAAGGAGTAATCAGTAGTTCAAAATATTGACTGTTGTCTTTTTCTTGCTTTTAAATACAATTTCTCAAATTATTCCAGTCCGATTGAATCTAACTATTAATTGTTTGTATCAATAATAAAATTTTTTCTTCTAATTATCTTACTCCTGAACAGAATTTTGAATTAATTCTTCAGGCAACATTGAATAGTACTTGATTTCTGATATATTATTCGGAAAATAAATACTTTATTTCATAAGCATTTCATATACAACATTATAAGTGAATTCAGGTTTATACTTTAATATTATTATAGATACTGTTACACTGACAACATCCTAAGGAGATTTGAACACATTGACTCTTATATTTTTTTTTTGGTTTTAGTGTTTGATCATCATGTAATCGACAAGTCATTGTTTCTTTCGTGCATATTTTCTTTAAAAAAAAATTAACGTTACTGAAGATAATCTCGTTTGTTTAAATGATCTGCCTAATGAATACAAAAACTTTACTCATAGAGTAATCGCAACTATTATTATTCTGTCAATTTTGGTTTACTTATTTTCTTGAGAACAATAGTTGATCTTATTCTTATGTTAAGATTTTGATTTAGTTAATCACATAACTTTTCCTATGAATAGAGATAATTATTTTAGTAGATGTTAGAATAACTGAATTTGAATCGATAAAATTATCGCGATATTTTTTTTTGGGGAGGGAGGGGGGTATTATTGGTCATTCATTTATTTTTTCAGTATAGTATATTTTTAACTTGGACTCGTAATGTATGATTACAATTACTTTCAAGTACTGCGCTTAAGTGCATCGATATATTCAACTTACACCAACATTTCTTTAGATAGCTTTTTTAAGGATTAATTTGACACCATACTTTAATCATCGACTAATAATATATTCAACTCAACAAGGATTTGAAGTATCTAAATATTGATGGATATCTATTCTCTATTTTGGTAATATAGTCACACCAAATTATATGTGTTTTCGACGAAAACTATTTATATTTATAATCATCCGATAGTAAAATATTCATACCTCAAGTAATTTTATATATACAAGTTAAGTAAAATATTTTTTCATTATTTTAATAGCCTGACCCTACATTTTTCGATAGTGTCTAGATCACTTCATAGTATAGTGTATTTGTATATCTTATTGATATTTTCAATACAGATTGTCCGTATATATACATTTTAATAATTTGTAGTATTATAACAATTCTATTTGCTTTGATTTGTGTTTTTGTGACCTATTCTAATAATATTCTTGTATTCAGTATTGACCTAACATCATTTATTATCTATTAATCACTTTCATGAACACATTAGTCTCTTGTTATTGACTGGATACGTTTTTTAATGTATGACAAATCGAGATGGAATAATAAATTAAATTCTTTCATAGTCTATTTAGATCTTACTACCTCAACTTAATTATTTAACTTATTTGATTCATTCAACAGTCATTTTTATAATAATGAATGCGAATCAAAGATTACCGTTTTGATTATCAACTATATTTAGTAAATAATAATTTTTATTTCATAAATATTCTATAGGTATGTTCGAGTTATTCTTTTCGTTTTTTTTTTAAAAGCTTCAGAAGAAAAATTATTTAAATGTTAAATTTTATACATGTATTGCAATAAGATGTTAATCATTCATGTGAGACCCATTAGTGACGAGCTTCTGAATTCATTTATACAACAAAAGCCCGTTGCTAAACGGGTGTCTAATGAATGTTTGCGTAGCACCATCTTGAATAGTGTTACTTCTGATATTATCATTTACTTACTTGAAAAAAATTACTATTCTTCCTCTTTTTTTTTATATTTTTTTTGCTTCTGTCATTTCTCGTCCGATCGATTAGTGATGAATCGTGCTTATGCATTGTCGATTTATGTTGGTAAGACTTATACTCGGCACACGTTCACATCAAATATTCACTTTGTATAATGGGCACAAAAAGAATGAGAAAGATCGTTTTTTAAAGAAGAAGAGAGAGAGTAAGTGAATGAGATTCGATCTGTCTCGGGAATGGTCGACAGCTGATCTCTCTTCTTATATATGTGTGTGTCGAGTAAAAAATTAACTTGTACGTTCTCTCTCTCTCTCTCTCTCTCTCGTTTTTTTTTCTTTTTGATTCCATCTTGAATCACTCAATCAAGCAATCGAATGATAAGGTATGGTGACGGCAACGACAATCACCATACATACAAATCGTTCTAACAGACATGTGAATGCATCAACAATTAGATCCAATGAATGAATCAGTAAGAAAAAGAAAAGAAAAAAGAAATAATGAATGATGTGCAATCGACTATGGAAGAATGA